GGGGCATCAAAAGGATCAGCATAGCAAAAGAAGCAGCTGTTCAACTCAAAGCAAGGAAGCAAGATCAGCAGGAGGGAGGCTTGAAGGGGTACAAAGCAAAAAGCAGTAGGTTTTGGGGTTTTTTTTCTAATAGAATCAACATGGGGTAAAAGCACTTTCTACTAAAGTTAGAAAAAAAACAAAGCAAACAAACAAGAAACCCCCGCAAACACAAAAAACCCCAAACTTAATTCATCTTGTCATAAGTCTATTTGTATTAGCTTTCTTATAACTGATTAGAAGTTTCTCATTTGGGACACTTGTCTTTAACAGCTCTCAGACTAATCAAAGCTCGGCCTTCCTCCCCGCAAGGAATTTAACTACTTATGTCAGCAGAGGTCATCCAAGCAGCCCATCTCCTGTTCTTTCTACATGTCCTTTCAAAGGACCAGCACTCCAAAGACTGGTACCCACACCACAGAGGTTGTAAGAACAGCTGTCTACTGCCTCACAGTCAACTGACTGAATCAACCAAACTTAGCAAATAACCCTTGTATAAATCCAATATTTGAGCTCAGTTTAAGCCTTGTACTCCAGCCTCTCCAGACAGAGTGCTTTTTCATTAAACATTTGCTCTTCCCCTCCATCAGCCAGACAGGAGTCAGCCTTATCTTCCCTCCAGGTCCTACCCTGGAGCCCACGACCTCACCTAAGCTGCCAGAAACTACCCTTGATATATATTAGCTCCATCCTGCAGCACCTAAAGAATTAAACCTATGTGTCTCAAGTCCTCTCTTTATGCCCTATACCCACCCTTCTTTCCTTTCCTCTCATGCCTCTACTTTTGTAATTTCCTTCATTCCTTGTGTGTGATGTGGTTGCATAACCCTTGTCAGCCCTCATCTCCACCTGAAGAGGTGAGCATTGGCACACCTGAGCCTTGACCCTCTTAAAGACCCCTAACACCAACACTATCATAGGGCTTTCACCCCATGCTTCTGGTGATGCAGAAAGGTATTTCCATGTAGCCAAAACCAAATAAAACATTGTGTCTTACACTTTCCAGAACAGGGATTGTGCTGCAGAATAACTAATTGGTGGGCTGTGACTTTAGCAGAAATCCGTGGTCAACCTGAATGTTGAACTTTGTTTGCAGATACCTCCCTAACACTTGTAACCACAATAACAGATTTGTTCTTGAGCCAGCGCTGCTACCTTTTTTTTCAATATTTCACAAACCTTAAGACTCCTATTGTGTCAGGAAAATAGAAACAACAATGCTGCGACAATGCTGGGGTTAGTTTCACTTGATTTCTCAACAGCAATCTTGTCCTGAGTTGTTTACATCACCCTGCCTTGGCCCTCAATGTTCCTTATTTGAGGAGGTTAATGCTGCCCCATTGAAACAGGTTAATGAAATAAACCATGTGAACTGTAATCTCTGGTGGAGTGCTGCCTTGGTACTGGCACTAACAGGCTGGCACAAATAGGTTTTTCTCAAAAATTAATTATCCCCCAACACTAATCTTCTCCTTATTAAGAAAGCGCTGCCACAGTCCTGCAATGGCTTCAAATTCCGCAGTAAGCCAGGTCAGCAAGATTTACATGGCAGCTTTCCACGTGTATCAAATTCCTGTCAGAACACTACAAGTTCACACATGCCCTTGCAAGTTGTGGTGCCGGAAACAGTTTCTCAAGCAATCTCTGTTTGTCACATTTGTCTTCCAGTCTAGTGAATGGCCAGCAGATGGTGCATATTAAATAATAATGTAAAAACAAACAATCTCTTTTTCAGGTTGTTGTTGGCCAACAGGAATTAATTTTAAAGGCAAGCTGAGAGGCAGTCTGTTATACTATTGTCTTCAGCATGTTACTTTAGTATTGCTGCCTGTGGTCAGCAAGGCCAGGCACTGGCCATGAAGCCCACCTCATGGTGCCAACTCATAGTGCTGCTAAGGTCAGTGGAAAGCCTGACTTTGATGTCTTTTTGTTATCTATGGTGTTTGCATATTCAGACAATTCCATGGCAAATACTTGGGACTTGCTTCATAGGAGCATTTCCCGAGGCAATGCAGCAGTCCCCTTGTCCTGCTCACTTGGGACTGCATGCTACTTCTAGGAAAGCTACTACAGATACCTCTGCCCTATGTAAGTCAAACCTACTTAGTTCAACAGGGCTGACTCCATGTAGCAGCTTGCAAAATTGGGCCTTAGTAGTAAGAGTGAAACCAGTTAATTTAACGGTGCCCCCAGGGAACTTTTTTTATTACTTTCCAGTAGTGTCCAGGATGTTCTTCCTGCTTTCCAAGTAGTGAAGATGTCATGTCACTCTCCCTGCCCCATGCTGTTTGTAAGGGATGATTTTCAGTCAGACCTGATTTGAGATGGCACAGCATTTGTGCCCTAGTGAGGACAGCTCGCGTGTTCCAACATCAAACTCATGACTAAATCACTCTCCCCTAACATCAATTTAGTAATGATCAGTTACCAGCATAACCCGCAGGCACAAGGCTATCATTTCCTTTGTCTTCAATGCCTTTGAGCCGTTCTTTATGAATAGACAGGAAAAGTCTATCCTAGCTAATACTGGTTCCACAAGGGGACAGACTAGGCCACCACTCCAAGCGTTTGCAGGCACTAGTTTTCCCTAAGAGCATCACTGAATACAACACATCCACCCCACCACTACCCGTGCCTTTGGAAATCATTGCTAAGTCTGAAAAGGCATCAGTGACACTTGAAAATTCAGAACACTGTCCACAGAGCAGGAATCCCACATCTTTCGTAGCTGAAGGTCACTAACATCAGCAGAACAGAGTGGTGAACTCCATCCAGAGCACTGAACAAGTCTGCAATAGACTTCCAGGCACATCACTGCTCATGTACAAAGCCATCAGGTGACAACTGTTTTGTTATTAGGTACAGGGAAAAAAAAACCCCAAACCTTAAAATGCCTTGATTTTGCATTTAGAAGAAATGTTCATCATACAGAGGTTTTGCCAAATTTTGTAAAATGCATGTGAAATCTTGGAGTAGACCTGTCCCCTGACCTTCACAAGGAACACCTTACAGGGTGGTTTGTAAAATACATTGGCAGTGTAACAAATGCTGTTTTCAGTGCTTTCTCCAAGAGCTGCCCCAAAAAGTTTCATTTACCAAATGAACCGTCTTTCTCAAATCACATTGAGCAACAATTTTCATTAAAATTATGCACTTGAGGAAAGAATTAAAAGGTGTTAAGAGGACACCCAGCACAGGATCAGGTCCGTAACTCAAGATTTAACAGGTCACAGAGAGAAGAGAAAAATAAGGGGAAGTTAGCCTGGATGTAGTCCTCACCTCATCACAGTAGCCAGCAGCTGGCACCACAGGTGCCACTGTCTCATCCCACAGGCCTGGGCACAGCAAAGCTCATGAAATAGCTCAGTGCCACTGAAACAAATTCCTTTCTGCATGGAAAAATCCTGTTGAGTGGCACAACGGGGCAGTAGTTTCCTGTGAAAACATCGACTGTTGCAGCAGCAGAACAAGGCAGTATCACAGAGTGGGTGGGAAGGTTACCTCCCAGTAAAATCACACCCAGGAACCACTCTTTTTCAGTGATGTGAAATGGAGAAGTCAGCAAGGGAAGAAACACAGGTATACCTGCACCCCTTCAGTGCCTAACCACAGCTGTAGAGAACTAATGTGAACAAAGAACAGTTTTCATTACTCCCACAAATATCACCATGCTAGAACTTAGGAGACAAAGTAGATCAAAGTACTGGCACTGCTACCTCCTGTAACTCCTTCACGCAGCAGGCACCAAAGGGCAGCAAGGGCTAGTTGCTTGGATCACAGCCATTTTGAGGTCTGAGGATCTAAATTTCAACTGTTCCCTCCCTTGGCTGCTGTGATGTAACAGGCATTTTCTCTCAGTACACCACAGGGAAATGAAATAGTTTTTCCTATTGGCATTTCACCCATCTCTCCTCAGAAGCACTTACCATGCTTTGTCCAGTGACTCATACCAACACAGCTCTACCAGCTACTGCTTTCTCTCTCCTCCCCCCGCCCCCAAACCCCACGACTATCTTAGAAGAGTTTCACAGTACAGACTGCTCCAGGATGCCTCTTTTTGACACTATGTGTGCAGAGCTGGCATGGGAATATCATCACATGTGCTGCCTGTACTCTACCTACTTACGGTGACAGCTGAAGACCACTGCAGAAGTCAGAGTACGTCACCTCCTAGCAGAAGACACCTCAAAAATAAAGCAAAATTTACTGTCCTCCTAAGCTGATGTGTTCTCCCGGGCACACAGGCAGTTCTCAGAAAAAAACCCAAAGCACCATTCTCCTCAAAATAGTTTCTTCCATATCAAAGTGATTCATGTCCTGATAGTTCAGCTATCCCAGAAGAGCCGCTCAGTATAAAGAGCACCTTTGCGTTCACCTCAGTGGCTCATGAAGAGCAGGATGCAGGTTTTCCTCTTTGTTGTTACAGATTCTATGGTAAGCATGCAGATAGAATATGAAATCCAAGCATAGCCAAGCATTTCATTAGTGGTGCCCCTAACAGCAATGGAATCAGTGCTTTCAGATATTTACAAAAACTAATTACTATAACTAGCTCTGAAATTATACTATTACTGGACTAATTCTGACTTCCTGTCCATTCCCATGTTTTGGAATTGATTAAACAGATCCTGAAAAATAAAGTCCTTTTATTGCTGCAGAGATGGGACTCTTTCCTGAGTAACAGGGATGGCGAAATACTACGAAGAAGGTGAATTTTAGTTAACTTCGGGTAGATTCAGCTTCCACATAATGTTTAAGAAATAGTAGTCTCAAAACAAGCACCGAGGTTCACACAAACATAGCCATTTCCTACAGACTTGAGAGACAGTTGAGTCCCATGGCTTGTCATAAAATTCACATACCTGTTTCAGACAGAAGAATCAAAGCTTTGTCAGAGCTATTTTACAAACAGCTGTCTGAATCCAATAGCACTTGTATAGTTATAATACAAACTCAATAAAAATATTTTTAACAAAGCATTTTAATAATTTCTCTATAACAAATAATTAATCAAATAGGCCGAATCCCATGTCATCGTCAGATTCTTCAGATTCCTCCTTCTTCTCCTCTTTCTTCTCCTCAGCTGAAGGAAAACAAAAGACCAAGCCAATGGTCAGTATTTACATGTTTTGCATCACAATTTTTTTTTTTTTTTTGTTTCAAAAGACCAAAGGTTTTGGTGTTCTCAGCTTTCATACTATTGGTATTTCAGCCTCCATGGCTCATCTCATTCTCTTTCAATAGCCAAATATAAACATTAAGGGGACATGGACACTATTATTGAAGGGATGTGCTTTACACAGTGAAGTCTGATTCTTGTTCTAAGAATCAGACTTCTAAGACCAATCTTAAGATGGATAAAGAGCAAATGCTTCCGACTACCCAAAGAAAAGTTAACTGTTCAGTTTACACTTCAATCGCATAGTTAACTGCCAAAGTGGAAACACTTTGAAATTTGTACTCAGTTGTTAAGATTTTAACAGAGAAAACTGGAGCTACCTGTAACAATGCCTCTCCACAAATACTCACCGGCAGCAGGGGCAGCAGCTGCAGCAGGAGCAGCAGAGCCCCCTCCAGCAGACACCGCCACAGCTCCCCCAGCCGGCATGCTGGCAAGTTTTCCATTACCTGAGAGGGTCAGAGAAAAAAGTACTTAAAAGCTTGTATTTAAATGCTCATTTAAATGCAGAGAGGTAAGGTGAAAAGGAAGAGACTTGAGAGCACAGAAGAAAGACACTGTGACTCATGGACTGAACCTGTCACTAATACCTGAAAAGAACAAGAGACTGCATCCATGGTAAGAAAATATAAATTGTTCTGTGAAAAACAAGTTTAAGATTCACAAAGGTTTAGCCTAAGAACACCAACAGCAAGTTATTAGTAAGCTTTCTGCTGTTCAAAGCCCCCAATTATTTTTTTCCCCAAACCTGCTGTATAAAAGTAGTGGCAAACATCCAATTTTAAACACACAGAAAAAGCTGTATGTTTTCCAAATACAGCATAATAGCCCAGAAATTTATCGTTTCAATATACCTCAAAAATAACATATAGGCAGCACTGGCTTCCCACTCTCCCCCTTTTTTTTAAGGGTATAGAGAACTATGAGCACATGACTGGATCCCACTTACAGGAGATGAGGGAATGGGGGGAAAAGATGTATTTGTGGCAAAGAGTACAGTATTTTAACCAAATTCTCCAGCACACTATGAACCCTATTCCATCTCCTTCGAGATTAACAAACTGAATTCTGATTAATGCTTGTCTTTGGAAAGCTAGCTAGTTCTCTGGCATCTGCCTTTCACATACCAAGGGTCCCTTGGCACCCAGAGGTCATGTACACAGTATGTTTGCCTGTATCCCAATTTCTGAGAATCAGTTTCTAAATAATTCCCTGCTACTTCAAGCTCTAATAAACTAGCCAAGTAAACAAACATGTTTCATATGCATGTCAGTATGTTCTAGGAAAACTATTTATTTAAAGAAAAAGTATTACAGAAAGCGATAGCGTGTGTTGTAAGCACATACAATGGCTCTCCGAGGACTTGAGACCACATGGATAAAAGTATCCAGTTACTGCTCGTAACAGCAAGGCCAGGCAAAAGTCCTGACCACCTTTAAGCAAACACATGCCCTTGTGCCTATGCACTTGCAAAAAAGTAGAAATTCATTAATCAAAAACCTTTGCACTACCTCAGCTCTGCTGTATTTTAGCCCTGTGACTCAATGTTAGAAGTTTCAGCTTTGGCAAGAGCCAGCAAGTAAGAACACAAGCTTCTACAGAAGTCAACACTCAGAGTCCTGTCTTTGAGGAAGGGATGCGCCAGACTTGGGGAGCTCTAGAAGAGATGTGTACTAGAGAGGCTTATATTAACTGCACAGGGTGTAACTGTATCCTTAATGGGAGTTGACACTTAAGATTTTAACAGCCTGTTCTTCCTGTTTTACATAACTGATGCCTACAAATGGGTAAACACAAAGAAAACGCCTCGGAGAGAATTTGAAGAACAGCGAAATTCTTTCTTTGCCCAACATGTCCAGAAAACTACATCATGAGCAGGCTACCAAGTCAGCTCATGCATGCTTAAAGTTCTCCAGTTTAATGTGGTCCACAAGCGAAACCCAGCAGGTACTGGCACTGACCTGCAGGGAATTAGAATGGACCTGGACTTCAGACATTTCAGCCAAGATCCAGAATGGAAGTCCTCAACCACAGAGCTAAACTGATGAATAATCAGGGAGCTGGCAGCAATTTTGTATTCTCAGGTGTAAGTTACCAAAGTAGTAGAGGTAATTTATCTGTGACACTCAAGAGACTGTACTTACCCTGAGCAATGACATCTTCGATATTTTTTCCATTCAGCTCACTAATAACCTGTGTGAATTAAGTTTAGAATGTTAATAGTTTCAAACCAGTGTGAGTATAAGCTACATTTAAACAAGTACAGGTTAATCATCATGTGCAATGCCTCCATCCTGCTGCTTATACAGCTGGAACATTCTGTATTTCTCAGTGGAAGGAACGGGACACTGGAACTAAAACTTCATCTGAGTCTTTTCTACTTTTCTCTGAAAGCTTTTTCATTAAATTTGTTACCATGAATTTATAACGAATCCAAGGACCTTGCAGAAAGAAGGATACACAGATGTTGTGACGCCAATTAGGAAACCCCACTGATGGTCTGTAAATCACTGAGGGACTGTCAACATTTCTTGCTTAATTCCCACAGGGAGGCTCTGAAGCGCTAGGCTCTAGACCAAAACCTCAAGGTCCTGTTCCTAGCATTACCAAATGTTACAGCCAAGCTGGCTATTGTATCCTTGCACTGGAACAGGCAGTCCCAACTCCAACAGCAATCTCTAAAGCAAGCAAGCACTTAAAAAAAACAGAAAAAAAATGAATGCCACAGACCTTACTGGTGAGTCCCTGCTACCACGAGTCAGTGCTGAACACTGCTGGGTTGCCAAAGGACTTTAACCAAGAGCTTTTCAACAGGCACCCCCTGCTTACACACAGTGAGTGACCTGTGAAATGCTGTGCCTGGGTGCTTGCTTCATCTAGAAGGAAGGTGGTTTTAGGACTTCATTAGATTTACACTGGGGTACATACCGCCAGCACAAACAGAAATGGATTAATTATGATCAAAACAAATTCCAGAGAAACTTTCTGGGTATTGGGAGGATCAGGGAAAACAACTAATTTATGAAGGGATAACACAAACATAAACAAGCCAAAGATGAAAGACCTGGCATTAAACAGGAGCACCACCAGTTCAAACCAACATCCCAAAGCATAACATGGATGCTATCAGCTTAGTCAATCCATCATTTGGTCAGGCCTAAAACACAGGTAAAACACTGTCTCCAGCTGGGAAAGTAACTCGTTTTTGCCTCCACTTCTCTGTAAACACTCCATGTACAAGTACGGGGCAGGTGATAAGACCATTTTTTTGTTCTTCCCCCCTCCCCCTCCACGGCCATCTATTTTTAAGTCCACAAGGCTGAAAGTCTATTACATCATAAGAAACATTCTAATTAAGATACTCGCTCTTAAAATGCCTGTTTTGCAGCAGAACTATTTCAGCACTAATTTCCAAAATCTTCCTACGTATTATTATTATCTTAAACGTCCATGTTATAATTCACTTGTTTCTTGGTGAAGAAACGTTTCCTTGCAATACACTAAATAAGAATTTATTACTGAATATCAGGCCTTCAAAAAGCATTAGCTTTGAATTAGTACTGACCAAAAGCCAAAACATTAAATGTTAAGTGCTGAACAGAACTTATTTTCAATACATACTTATCTGTAGTAGCCACCATACCTTTGAAAACTATTAAGGCTGAAGAGTCAAAAGTCAGCAACAAGACAAGGAATCTTTGCTGAGAACAGGCATAAAGTAAGAAAGCCAGATTTCCACAAAAACACTGCAAAAATGGTTCTGATCAGGTAGGCAGCATTTTAGAAATCACTCACGTAATGACCAGTGAATGTCTGAACAAAACAACACTAGTTCAACAACAAGGCAACTACAGAAACATCGAAGCCCAGGGAAAAGCTCCAGTGCTGATGCTGACTGGCCCATGTCCATCTGGAATTAAGAGGCAACACCACCTTGTTCATGCGTTCATCGTCTGTCTCTATGCCAACGCTGTCGAGGATCTTTTTCAAGTCCTTTGAAGTGGGAGACTCGTTGCCACCGAGGACTGCTAGAAGGTAAGCTGCGACGTAACGCATCCTGGAAAACGAGAGAATTGGATCTTCAGCGCTAATGAACCGGTTACACGTTCGGAGGAAGTTCATCTCCTCACGGAGGGAAGCAAACCTCACCCTCCCGGCTACAACTGCTTTGCGCTGCTTCTAAAGGAAACACCACGACACGCGCGGCCGCGTACCAGCCTCCTGCCAGCGCACAACAGCCC